AGCGTCTCCGCCGGGCCTGCGCGCACTCTCAGTGCCACCGCCGCGAACTCCCGGGTTGCCGGCCAGAACACGGTCATGGGAGCTGCCCGCTTGTTGAGCATGTGTTCTAAGCGCTTTGCGAATGTTGATCATTCATTTTAGTATTTATTGCCCGTCTACCATCTGCCAGGCTGACAAATTCCCTGCCCTCCTGGAGCTCACATTCTAATGGGAGTGGGTGGTAGTGACAGATTCTACCAGCGGTTCTCAACCTGTGGGTCGCGACCCCTTTGGGGGTCAAATGACCCTTTCACAGGGGTCGCCTAAGACCATCGGAAAACACATATATAATTACATATCGTTTTTGTGATTAATCACGATGCTTTAATTATGTTCAATTTGTAACCATGAAATCCGGGGTCACCACAACATGAGGAACTGTATTAAAGGGTCGTGGCATTCTAAGCTCTGTGGGGATGAGCTCCACCCCTTCTAGATTTCTATTGCTCTTTCATGCTCCTCTTTAGCTTCTGACCACTCCTTTGACTCACTGGGCTTCCTTTGACTTGCATCAGCTCCTTTTCCCAAGCATCAGCTCACAGAACACAGCAAGGCACTCAAGTTTCATCACTGTGGTGCCCTAGTGCTTGGCACTGTGCCCAACCTACCACAAGGTGATCCATACTAGTGTAGGAAAACTTCAAGGGTACATTTTAATGTTGATCCAGCTCAGCTTTTACAGAGGCCAGAAAACAGGCCAAAAGGTCATTATGGCCTGGGGACAATAAACCTTTCCCAGAAGCTGCTCTGCGAGACAAAGTCCAGGACAAGCAAATAGAGATCAAAGAGGCCCCTAGGTCCCCTCACCATATCGGGGTCACAGCAGCCAGTACATTTTACCCAGGGCCCTGGAGTGGGTTGACCCGGGGCCATGTCTGTCCAGTGTGCGGTGGCTTGTAGGAGACAGCGAGGGTTTGGGCATAAAAATTAAGAAAATGCAGGTAAAAGAAGGGTCTTTGACTCTGCATCTCCCTTCTTCCTGATAATGCAGAGGGCCTTTCTGCCATTACATGATAGGCTTGGGCTTTGGAGACGGAAAGATCTGGGTTTGGATACCTGCTCTGTCACTTGCTGGCCGCTTGCATCAGAGCTCGGTGCTGAGCCCCAATGCAACGCGGAAGTCTCTCACAGGCTCAGAGGTACACCAGGAGGCTAAATTAGACAATAAAGGGATTGGAGCAATGCATGACCCATAACCAGCCCTCCATTAGGAAAAGGGGCACTCATTGTCTGCCCAGGTGGGAGAATGCTGGGCTACTTCTGTTCTTCTTTCCAACTCTGGGTGAGAAGGTCCAGAGAGATGAGGCAACTGTCCTAAAGGATGGGTCGCCCATTACCCATCCCTAAGACGCCTAGGCTGCCTCTGGGAGAACTGCTAGGGTAAACGCCTGACCAGACTCAGAGCGTGCCTCCGGGCAGAACTGGCCGGAGAAACGGGCATGGGCAGACTCTTTGCAAGCCACAGGCCTCCCTGGCCAAAGTGGGACTTACAGAAAAGTTTGTTGATACTTAAAGAATTTTGAAAGTAACACTTAACGAAGTTTAGAAATCCACTTTTAGCTGTGGCTTCCTGACACATGTCATCGTGTCACCAGGGTTGCCCTGTGCCAGACCCAGAGTTAGACAAGCAGCCAGGGTCTCCCCAGTTCACCTTGTCTGGGTGCAGTTCTATACAGAGGGGCACGCTCTGAGTCTGGCCAGTTTACGCAGCTTAGAACCCCCGCAGGGAGAAAGCTTTCACTGTCAGTTTTTAACCCCCCCCCCCACCATTGTAATATTTGTCTTCATCCTGTCTAATGTTTAATCCATGTTTATCTAGCACTTTATTGACTGATGGTCTGAGTGAAGCGACAAGGCAGCGGGAGCCTTGAGAACAGGGTTGGCGCCATGGGGCTGCGGGTGCTGCTGTGTGTGTCCCTGGTGTCCCTCCTCACCCTGCAGGCCCTGCCTGCTCAGGCTTCACCCAAAAGGCCCAAAAGCAGCGAGGTATGTGGGTAAACCCTCGGGGCAGAAACAGGCAGCTGGGCCTGGCTGGGGCCTGGGAGGGGGACACAAGACCCTCACCCCAGGGACTGGGGCTTCCCCTACCCACCTTGACCACCTCTGACTGGAGAGTGAGGCCAAGGAGCAGAGGGTTCAGGCTGTGTCCCACGCCCATACCTTTAAAAAGCCTGAGCATTCACGCTCACACTGACCCCGGTTTGTTTTACAGAAGCGACAGGCTGTGGACACAGTGAGTGAGTCTCCGCAAAGGAGTCTGTGGTGGGGCCACTATTACAGGCGCGATTTCCCCGTCCCCAGGGGGGTGCCCCTCTGTTAGTGCTCTGGGTCGAGGGACTCCTGTCTCCTGGAAATGGGGACTCCCCACCCCACCTCATCCCCAGCTGCTCGCTCTGAGGCAGAGAGAACAGATGGGTCTCCCTGGGAGGTCTGGTTTGTTCTTCAGTCACCCTGTGTCAATCAGAACTGGGTGCTGACCCCAATACAACACAAGGTCTCTCATTGGCTCAGAGGCCCCCATCCCAGGCCACAGTGCCCTCACGTCTCACTTTAGACTGTCGACGGCGTGGTCATCCAGAGTTTGAAAGTCCACTGCAAAGTCACCTCTCGCTTCGCCCACTATGTCATCACCAGCCAAGTGGTCAACAGCGCCGACCAACCAAAGGAAGTGGCCTTCAGTGTGGAGATCCCCAAGACGGCCTTCATCAGTGACTTTGCCATGTGCGTGCCCTGCCCGACTCCCCCACCCAGAACTGTCCATTCACTGGGCCCAGCCCAAGACCATGGCTCAAAGTGGCCAGACAGTGTACCATCTCCTCATTTCCCAAAGGGCCACAGGCCAGTTCCAGCTCGGAAGGGAGAACAGTCCTCTAGTAGGTCTGTTCTGGGCTCCCATGGTGGACAGCAAACTGGGGCCTCTGACCGTGTTTCCAGCCTAGGGCCTGAAGAGCAAAAGCTGCTTTCTGGGCTCTGGCTGTAGCTGCCCACCTCACTGCCCAGGGGCTTCCAAGCCACTCTTTGGGCAGAGGGAGGCCAGCAGGAGACGCACCCCTTCCCCCCATGAGTGCTCACCTGGACAGGGCTTCCTGGGGTCTGGGCTGAAAGTACCTCCAATATGTGTGTCAGGGAAGGGCCCCTCCCCTGAGGGCTTCCTCCTCCCGGCAGCACAGCAAATGGGAAAGCATTCATCGGGGACATAAAGGAAAAAGCAATTGCGTGGAAGCAGTACCGGAAAGCGGCCGTCTCAGGAGAGAATGCCGGCCTTGTCAGGTGAGTTCTGAGCCCTGCTGGCCCAGTGTTTGAGGTGGCCTTCCCCTCGGATAGACCTGAGGGATGCAAGGTGGCCTTGGGTGCAGAGCAGCCCCAGGCTGATGGGAGGTGAGCACCCTGCCCAAACCCAATTGCCAGCACAGGTGCACTGGGCAAGGCTGGTGCTGACCTGCCCGTCCCCTAGACCAGCCTGCAGGAGAAGTGGGCCCTGTCCTTGGGCCCTGACTCTGACCAGCCAGCTAAGACAAGGGGGAGGGCCAAGGATCCCCGGAGCAGCACTAGAATAAGAGAACGTGATTCTGAGGCCCGTGCTTTAGGTGACGAGAACCACATGTCACTTACCATTTGTCTGTGTGGATGCCTCTGGTGGCACGTCCAGGGCCTCGGGAAGAACGATGGAGCAGTTCACCATCCACCTCACCATCGGTCCCCGCAGCAAGTCCATGTTCCGCTTGACCTACGAGGACGTGCTGAAGCGAAAGCTCATGCAGTACGACATTGACATCAAAGTCAAGCCCAAGCAGCTGGTGCATCATTTTGAGGTAGATTGCAGGTGACCGCCAGGCCCAGGGGGATGGTCTCAGGAGCAGGGCTCCTGCCTCTCCCTCACTGTGGCTCTAGCATTGGCTCGGCACTCATCGTGTGCCATCCCAGACCTGAGCACACAAGGCAGGGGACTAACTCCTCAGGGTGAGCTCTGATGGGCAGGGAGCTCCCTGAACCTTTCAGCCTCCTCCTCTCTGAGTCTCAGCTTTCTCATCTGTTAAATGGGGATTCCTGTTTGTCCCAGGACTTCCACAAGGATCACAGGAGATAATAAACATCCAGGTAGTTTATAAACAGAAAGTCCTGGGCAGCATGAGGGACTGTGGTTGTCTCTGGCACCTCAATGGTGGCTGAGTTGAGGGGTGCAGGTAAGCACACCTTCATTTGGCCAATATTTTTGGAGAGCCTACCAGGCCCTTTGCTGGGGGCGAGGTGGGCGCTGCACACAGTAGGTGGCCAGGGCACATGCTGGCTCTTGGCTGAGACTGGATGATGGCCCAAATGGGAGCCCTGGTGCAGGAATTGCTTCAATGATGCAGATCGACGTGGACATCTTTGAGCCCCAGGGGATCCGCAAGCTGGATGTCCAGACCTCCTTCCTCCCCAAGGAACTGGCAGCTCAACTCATCAAGAAGTCCTTCTCAGGCAAAAAGGTATGTGGCACGGCTGGGGGTGGTGGCAGGCCCTCTGGGAATTCTCCACCTGGCCCAACCCCTTATGGAGGGTCCAAGCTTGGCCTGGGAACCAGGCAAGGTCTTCAGGCTTCCCTGGGGGTGAGAGAGGCAGGTGTCTTCTGGTTGGTATCCCGGGGGAACTTGGCACTCCTGATTCTCACAGCAACTGAGCAAAAGCCTGCATGCTGAGGCTGGGGAAGGCACCCA